CAATGAAACGGCGGCCATGTTGGTGTCCCAAACCAGTCCTCTGGGAGTTGAACTCCTTTCTTATGCAAACGCTTTCTTTTGTTACAATACATTTGCATATATGCTGGCCACGTGAGTGAAAACACTCTATAATTCATTTCTAACTGATGATCCACACCCATTTTATGTTTGGCTAAGCAAAGCCTGGTTAAAGCACCAGTGAGAAAAATGACAGTTATAATTTCTGCTTTACTACTCTCCTGTTATGACGCTCCTTATCACAACTTGCCTAATGATGTAACATATATAATTCGGTATAATTTTTAACAATACTTTCAATCAAAGTGTCAAAGTTTTAGAAATTGGAATCGAGCTTTGATTGGAACCTTCTGTTAACAAACAAGAGGCAAAGGAAAGAATAGAATGATGTTCCTAAAAGTATCTGAATTAGTTCAGATACTGGTGGACAAAGAGAGTCATATAGAGTCAAGAGCAAAAACAGGTCTGCGTGCATTAGTTACGTTCCTGCACTGCAGTTCAGGAAGCACACAAAACTAAGCCTAATGGGCCCGGAGAGACAGGATCGAGTTGGTGCCTATAGCTGAAGAATCAGAAGGAGTTAGCTTGATCAAATTTCGTATTACTCTTCCATTATTGTGTTTTAGTAACTTCCAAAGTAACAAGCTCTTGAAGCTACAACAATCCATCTTCACGAATTTAAAAAACTTAAAAAGACTGTAAGTATGGACTGGATACTACTTGTTACCGTGAAACCTCGATTTAACGAACCGCTATTTAACGCCTTCGTCGGTATAACGAGCGATTTTCTTTACCGCAATAGTAGTAAAATATATGAAAACCTCGATCATGACGAAACCTCGTTATAGCGAACAAATTTTGTTACTCCCTTTGCCCTTCGATAAATCGAGGTTCCACTGTATTATATTGTTGTTGTTCGTCTTGATTGCTATTCATTCTGTAGTTAGTAAATAGTTCCTTATCTGAAGGTAATAGTTTGAAACATTAATTTTGATTGACCTATCGTTAGTCCGTCAGGTTTTTAAGGTCATTTCATGAATACTTTGTTCTTGCAGCTTTCACACAAACCAACGGAAAGCCAATTCGTCTTGCAGCGATATCTATGTTGCTTTCTGTTGAGGGGCAATTAAAGTCACCAAGATGTAGTGTTACATTTAAATGAATTGGCTTTGTTGGTATCATCGAAAATCACCTTGGCTTTTCATTCAATTTGTAGGGACCTCTCATATAATCAAATCTCTGAGTTATTGAGGAACATTTTTGCTGACTTAAAAGGCCTGGAACATCTGTAAGATGTAATTCTTTTGTTTTTTCCTTACATTGGCTTGTCTTTTCTCAAAATCTAAATCAGATTATTTTTATTTTCTTTAACTAGGATTGGACTAATAATTTAACTTTAACCCCCGGTTCAGGGTACCATTATCATCTACAGAGTCACTAAGATCTTTAAATTTGTGTAGAACTGATAGCCAGGGTTATCCCAGGATAAATAAAGAACTCTAATTCAACTTCATTGCTGTATCGGCACTGGAATAAATACCATAAAACTGGCTTAGATTTTTGGTAATGGCAGCTTACCTCGTTTTACTATCAGCGTTTTGCATCTTAGATGGTCTTGGATAGTTAGTTGTACAATCAAACAATCAAACTTTCACACTATACAATAATGCGATGATGATTTCTAACAATATGGGATATGCGTCATCAGAAACTTGCAGAAACATTAAAGAACGGGATTTGAATAATAGCGGGGCTCCCTCGCGCGCGAAGCGCGCGTTGGACAGAGCCCCATACTCATAGAATATGGTCAACCTTTTTTCGTTTGGTTGTCACGTGACTGACCGAGCGTACGTACGTACGCGTCTACAGATTATACAGGTAGGGTAGGGGAGACTATCAAAAGGAAGGGAGGGGTGTCTCAGGCGTGTCTTGGCAAATCCACATCTTTTATATTGGCCATTCACAATATGGTCAATTGACAGCTGGATGTGACAGCTGGCAAAACAAGATAGCCACTGACCAGTATCACATTGCCATATCGAGGGCTCAAGTGTCAACTCATCAAGGTGACGTGATTTATTTGGAAGCTGTCCGCTGACCAGTTGTTTTACTAGATCGCGATCAATGTTCAATCTCATACTTTCTAGCTAGTTTGAGAGCACAGGAAAACTGATAATGCACACATCCATTGGACATCAATGTTGTGATCAATTGACAGCTGTCAAAACAGGATATCCGCTGACCAGTATCACTTGACCGTATCGCAGGCTCAGGTGTTGACCCATCGAGGTCAAGTATTTTTCAAGTTATCCGCTGACAAGTTACTAGTTTTCAAATGATCGCAGGCTTAAGTTTGATTTTTTTTTAATTCATGTGAAATATGTTTTGTTTTTGTGCCGCACAATTAAAATTTTGATTTAAAACTGACCTCGGACGCGAAAATTCAGCCAGCTATTACAGGCAGGGAAGACAGTTGCTTTTGACTTTGCTTACCATGGTCACGCGTTAGTCACGGTCTACGTCCAATTTTTATGCTCTGATTGGTCAAAATTTGGCAGGTGAGTTCATATAGAAAATTTTTGCAGCATCTTGAATCTTGTTTACTTTGACAGCTGAAGCTGACAGAGTTTTTTGTCAACTTGTAATGTTTTTAACTGTTTTTTTTCACTGGATGCACAAAATGAAATTTAGCTGCTATCAGGAGTCTTCTGTTATTCATGGCTAGTTGGTTTTTGGTTGAGAAATTAATGCGTCACTTGTCAAAGTCGGAAACGCGATTTCGAATGGCATCGTTTACGTTTTTCACCTTGCTTGATGAGTAAGGGTTGAAAAGTCTGAAGCGATACTGGCCTTACTTGATACCTTTCAGGAGCTGCATCTCGAATGGTAAGCCTCAGTAATTATTGTGTTTGATGTTTGTTTTTTGGATCTGAGTTAATGAAGTCGAGCGAAGTTTATGCGGCTATGTAGTTTATGCACGTTTGTAAGATTTGAGACAATTTGATCCGACCAAGAATCAGGTTTGATATAAGCTTACAGAACTTTAAAAAGCCTTTAGACATTTTCTCACCGCAAATAGAAAGAAAACGTTCCAAAGAATATTTAGGTATAATTCTGGCTGTAAAAGAAAGCTTTGAGCGATTTTCTTGCCTCGAGTTCATCTTTGAAAAAAGTAAATACCGGGAAGCCGGCTTAAAACATAAACTTAAGCTTTAAGCTTGAAGACTCAGGATTTTTAGAGACACTTAAATACTTGTCTTAGTGAATGAAAAAGGTTGTCTCTGTATATGTTTCACCGAATTGTATTTCTTCAAGAGAGGATAAAAGGGACAGAGAAGGCATCCCCCACATACACCCTATTTCATAGGTAATTCGTCTCGAGTTATTTTTAGAACCGTGATAAAGTTACCTCGCGCGCTGCGTGGATGTTTCGTGGAGGTTTCGCATGACTAAACGCCGTGCAAAACATGTCGGGCGAAGGGCAATGAAAGCGTAAAGAGATCGAGAGTATTTCTGAATATTGAAGCGAAATGAGTCGGTTTAACTCGAAGTTATCGTAACCTCAGTGCTTTAACAAAATGAGAAATTTCGCCGGTCTATTGAAACCGGTCGTTTGAACAATAAATGTTATTTCTGGCGAATGAGCCTGCGAAGAAGGCAGAAATAAATATTTTGACTGCACGAGATACAACAGGGCCTGGGTTCTAGGCCGGGTGCACCATGGGTAGCCATATCGGGGGTATATAAAGCTGCGTATATCACGTGTACGTCATCTAGGCTTCTGAACCAACCTCTCTTTGGTTTTTTCTTTAACGTTCTTGTCGTTTGTCTTCTGCGTTATGTCCGTCAGCAAAGACGAAGTGTCCGATCTCATTCGAGAGAATAACAAGCAGTTAATGGACTCGTTCAAAGATTTGTTAGCACAAACCGTTGGTCAAATCAAGCGCT